AAGAAAAAATGAAAAAATACTACGATAAACAAAGAAAAGAAGTTCCGGAGTTGAAGGTGGGGATGAAGGTGTACATAGAGGGGGACAATATCGAGACGGACAGGCCTTCGAAGAAGATGAGCGACAAGAGATTGGGGCCATACGAGATACTGGAGAAGGTTGGAGCGGCTGCATGGAAGCTGAATTTGCCGGACACGGACCGAAGACACCCGGTGTTCAACGAGTCACTGTTGACACCCTATCACGAACCACCCCCCCATCGCCGAGAGAAGAGACCCGTGGCCAAGATGATCGGAGGAGCAGAGGAGTGGGAAGTCGAAGAAATCGTGAAAGAGCGAAAAGTCGGCCGAGGAAAACAGTACTTGGTCAAATGGAAGGGATGGCCGCACAGCGAGAACACCTGGGAACCATCACGTCACCTTACCCACGCAAAGGACGTCCTGAGAGACTGGCAGAGAAAACAATCAAATCCAGACACACGCATTTGCCTCCTGCCAACGCTCGAAGCTGGACACTGGGATTATCTCATCCATCGCTACAAACCCAAAGACGAGCGCCTTCCATACCCCCAGCGACAACTCTTCGATCCCTACGAAAACGTCTTCACGCCCATCGGCCTAGTCGATGAGGACATCGACCCTAGAGAGGGGGTAATGTCATAATTCGACTCTTTTTCATCTTATCATCGGCGATCTTATCTTATCTTGGCACGACTTATCTTATCACGGATCACAGCATCAGACGGTCCGGGCTAGGGGTTCCAGGGGTTATCTCTATCGATTCGAGGCTGCGCGACATATGCTCCGGGAGGTTCTACTACAACCCATGACCAGTGCTCCATGCGGTACATAGCCCTATGACTCATTAGTTGTAGATATGACTCAGACTGGATTTGGGTATAAATACTGTAGCTATTTGGTTGTATTCTCCAGTCTTCGAATTCACTTCTCTTTTCGACTTTGTTTTTGGGTTGATTGTCACAGTATATCGATATGCTTTGAGCGAGCGTGGAAACCCGAGTTCTCGGCAAATAGGATGGTGCCGAGGTTGTCGACGGAGATGTGTGTGGGAAAGGTGGTGTCGACGTCGAGTTCTGTAAGGAGTGATCGAAGCCAAAGAGCTTCCCGAGTTGCACTTGACAGTGCCATATACTCGGCTTCCATGCTCAAGAGAGCAACGGTAACCTGCTTCTTGGAGCTCCAAGTAACGGCTCCCCCTGCAAAGCATGAGATGTAGCCCGTGATCGAACGTCGGGTATTTGGGTCAGAACCCCAGTCCGCGTCTGAGAACAGCTCGAGTGCTGTCACGTTTAAGTCAGCTCGGTATTCGATCCCGAGGTCCATAGTGCCACGGAGGTAACGGAATACTCGCTTGACGGCGGTGAGATGCTCCGGTCCCGGGTTGGTGTTGAACTGGGAAAGAGACTGGACAGCGTACGAGATATTGGGTCGAGTCGTGATTGCGGCGTAAAGGAGGGAGCCAATCATTGGCTGATAGAGTCGTTTGACTTCGGGGTATGACACGTTGTCCGGGAGCTGTGTGAGTTTGACGTTCGGGTCTATCGGGGTGTGAGACGGGTTCGACGAGGCCATCTGGTACTTCTCGAGGATCTTCGAGATGTACTGAGTCTGGGTGAGACGAATAGACTCATTTGTGCGTGTGATTTCCATCCCAAGAAGCTGTCGGATTGCGCCAAGCTTCTTGATCGTGAATTCGGAGTCCAGTTCGGCCTCGATGCGGGCCATGAGAGCATCAGAGGAAGTCAGGATTGACATGTCATCGACATGGACAGCAATGATGGCTACACCCGATCCGTCGCGTCGAAAATAGACACATTGGTCAGAAATGAGTCGGGTGTAACCTAGTTTCAGGAATGCAGCATTCAGCTTCTGATTCCACACGCGTCCGGACTGCTTAAGCCCATAGATTGTGCGGTGAAGACGGCAGACGCGGGTGGTTCCGTCTTCAAAAAGGGTTGGCTGTTGCATGTAGATCTCTTCAGAGAGTTTTCCGTTGAGATAAGCTCCAACAACATCCACGACGTTGACTTTGAGGTTGTAGTGAGCGGCCAGAGCAAGTAGTAGGCGGACAGTGTCAATGCGGACAACAGGCGCGTATGTTTCGTCGAAATCAATGCCCGGAATCTGTGAGAATCCTTTTGCAACAAGTCGGGCCTTGTAACGGGAAATGGCGCTGGTATCATCGTGTTTGATTCGGAATACCCATTTACATGAAATAGGGGAGTGATTAGTTGGTAGGGTTTGTAGCGAGAATGTTCCAAGTGTGCGTAGCTGCTCCATTTCCTCCTCCATGGCTTTCTTCCACATTGGCCAGTCCGGCCTCGCCATTGCCTCCTCCAGGTTCGTCGGATCGTCTGCGGGGATATCAAAAGTCGAAGTTGCCGCTAAGGCGAAGTCTTCGTTGGCAACGCGATGCTTCCAAGCATCGGGCTTCTTCGGAGATCGAGAGTCTGGGTTGTTGAGAAGGCGGTAGTTGTCACTGTACACAGTGCGGCGAGTACGCGGAGCATCAATGATGTTCGACTCATCAACAGCACTGGTGATGTTGCGTGGAGCAACACGAGGTGCAGGTGGTGTAGACGGCGGTGAGGAAGGCGGCGTAGTTAGCGGCGATGGAGGTGGAGACGGAGAACGGTCCGGAGGTGCGTGATTGGCAGCTTTTGGCGGTGTAGGCTGATTGACAGCAGAAGGCGGTGCTCGATCGACCTCTTTTTCTTTCTCCCCCTCGAGCGACGACGCCGGAGCCTCAGGGATGGCTGAAGACTCGGGTTTTGTCGATGGATCAAAAATGATATTACGGCTGGTCTGGATGGTGCGTGTTTCAGCGTTATAGTACCGCAGGGAATGTGACTCATCGCCAATTCCAGTAAAAGTGAAGGGGCGTGACTTCGAGTCGATTTTCGCTCGCTTCCCGTCCTGCTGCAACACCCAACATGGCGATCCAAACTCTTGGAGCGTGGAGACATCGGGTTTGCGACCCCAGAAGGCTTCGTCCGGGGTAATGAGGGAGGGAAGGGCACGGGTCGGGGATTGGTTCTTCAGGTACGTTGCATATGCGACCGCTTCAGACCACAGAGATAATGGGGAGTTGTAGGCTCCCAACATAGCACGTGCGCGCTCAATTAGTGTCCGGTTTAGGCGTTCTGCCACGCCGTTTTGCTGCGGAGAGTATGGCGTGGTCAACTCGAGCCGGATTCCTCGCTCCCGGTGAAATGCTGAGGGCGTGCTCACAAGTGAATCTACTATGAAAGTAAACCCAAATATAAACACGTTCACACTCCTTGTAATCAGCTTCTCAGTGTGTGAAAGATGCGAGGGCTTCGGGGTGGACAGAACACCAGTATCACAACTCTCAATAGACGCAGATCAATAGTCGCGGAAGACGAAATCGACGACAAGAATTTATATATAGCAAACAGTGGTGTCTCAACCAATATCTTCTATATGAACAAAACCAACACTAATCCAACCACAACCAACAATATGGCAAGTCAGAACTTAATACGAAGTATTAAGATCCCTTGTAGCGACAGCGTCTAAATGGCGACGCAAAGCCCAAATATCAAGTCGACGCACTGCCAACCGATACAACCAATATACTGAGTCGACGCACTGCCAACTAGTAAACCAAAATGCCGCGTCGACGCACTGCCAACTAACAGCCAATATCCAATGTCCAAAACCCGAGCACAACTTGTCGACGCACTGCCAAGCAAGAAGTGTGGAACCAAAGTTCTCAAGTCGACGCACTGCCAACTGACCAAAACAACCCGAGCACAACTAGTCGACGCACTGCCAAGCTAGAGGTGTGGAACGATCTCAACAAAGCCCAAAGGCAACGACACTAAATGCCGCGACAATACCAGATGCGGCGAATCCGACTTTCTGATATCTCAACTCAAACTCAAATCACAGTAGCTACAAGTGCTCAGGGAGCAACTCGTCGCGACCGGGCAGGGGTGGCAGAACTTCTTAGGGTGGAATCACGCGACACGCAAATTGTACAAAACAATCTGAAATGAGAGTGATTCACAGTCCGGGGGAAAGCTTCCTAATACAAAGAAACGACGTGCTATTTATACTGTCTACGACGATGCTTAGTAAAGTCCTGTACAACTGCATAGTAGCTACGCTATCTAAGATTGGTTGCCTTTTAGAGTAATTGGAAAGTTGGACGATCGGACAGGTCCTGAGTGATCAGGACCCCGCCCCATTGTCCATATGATACTTTTGATGTGGGTCAACCCGCCGTGTCATACTTTTGGAATACGACGTGTTGGATTGGCCGACGGGTATGTCTTGGCAAGTGAGACCAACGTGGGCGCCCCAAGAAGCCGTATGGCCCTAGGCACGCCAGTCGTCCCCCACATGGCTCGGTTCACGGATCTAGCCGTGTCGGTCTTAGTGTACTTGGGTATGGACGCGACTTGCCGTGACACTTGGAAGTGTCACCTGCGACGCGTCCGCAATGTCTCGTGATCGAATGGATCCTGACATGTGACAAGTCGTTGTCGTGGCATGATCTGAGGAAACGTCCAACTCAAGACTGGGAGTTGCCGCGACAAGATTGGTTCAATCTTGTAACGCCAAGTCCTGTCCAGTAGTAGTCGTATTATTGAGAACGTCGTACACTGCTCAGCCCTTCAGCCCAAGTATCCATCTGCAGAGAATGACCCTTTTTGGGAAGTCGACGCAACGACAGATCCCCTTTTGGGGAATGGTCGCGGCCCAAGCATTCGTCACTAATGGCCCTGAGCCTGGTATAGACTCATAAGACCAGTTCCACAGTAGTGGTCCGACTGCCTTGCTATCGTCAACACTATCCACAGTCGTCGACTGGGCAGTAGACCCTTAAGTCCTACTGAGCGCAACACTGTCAACCGCGACACGATACACCGAGTGGTTCGAGAGTAAACTCTGTAAAAGCGCAAAAATACGCCCTTACTGAGTTGGTGCAGAGCGTGTCTGGTAGCCAGCCTATCACCGGAGGAAGGTCCGAACATCGTCGTTGACATATTCACCCCCGTTGTCACAGCGGAAGGCTTTAACGCGCTTCCCTGCCTGTGTCTGTATGTATTCCACGTAGTCGCGCATCCGATCCTTGATGTCTGACTTCCGTTTTAGGAAGTAGAGCACTGTTCGTCGTGTTGCAGCGTCCGTAAATGAGACGTAGTATCGGGAACCATCAATGGCAATCACGTGCGAGGGTCCCCACACATCGGTGAAGGTCAGGTCGCCAATTTCGGTGTATTGACTGTCAGATGCTGGTGGGAACGGAGTGACGTGGGACTTGGCTTTGACGCAAGTCTCGCAGAAGGTTGATGCAGGTACGGATTCGTCTACATTCAGCCCAGTAACCATCTGCTTATCCTGCAGTGTTGGGGAAAATGGGTCGAGGGGTCGATTAGATAATTGTAGTGTAGGTTTGCAATAGCAATGAGAATTGAACTTGAATTGCTTTAGGGCAAACTGATGCCCGTACACTACATACAAGCTTAGTTATATAGTAGTAATACTAGTAATCTAGAATATTCTTCTATTTACTGGTATATGACTAAAGACAATTATCGAATGATCTGGAACGTTCCAGGACAGCCAAGCTGCATCCCGGGAATACTACTGAAATTCAACACGCAGAGTCTTCACAGATGCGTGCTGGATGTGCCCGAGGATCCGATGCCACTTGTCCCAAGTGTGAGTGGGTGCCGACGAAGGTTTCGATGGTAGGGCAACAGTGGGAGTGGGTCGGCTGGGCGGAGAACGAGCAGAGCGAGTGATGCGGACCTTGTAGAGTCCGCCAATCAAGGTACCGCGCATGATTTCGTACGATTTGGGTCCAGGAGAATGGATTTTCATTGTGTCACCCTTCATTTGGACTGAGCAGCCCACGGAAGTGAGTCGGCCAAGAGAGATGAGGTTGTAAGGAGCATTTGGAACGTGCATAGAGTCCCGAAGTGAGATGTCGTAGGCTTTGGTGCCGACATGAGAAGAGATTTCTACGGTGCCACTGCCGGGGCTCGAAGATTGTCCAAATCCGGTAACGTTGGTGCCAGGCGTCTCGAGGTACGAGGAAAAAAGCGTTTTATTGATTACTATGTGTCGTGTAGCTGCGCTATCAGCTAACCAAACGTCCGAGCCCGTTGCGGGCGGTAACGACGCAGCAGCAAAAGCAAAAGCGGGCGCATCAAATTGCGCTTCTTCAGTCACGTGTGCCCGGCCCGAATTCCATCCTCTTCCTCCTCCCCCTCCTTGTCCATTTCGGCGTTTCTGCTCCTCCGTAAACGTCTTTCCTGCCTTCGTGTCCCAACAGTCAGCAATAACATGCCCCCGGCGACCACAACCATAGCATGACACGTTCGTTGAGAACTTGCCGGTCTTGGCGGATCGAGCTGGCAGGGCGACATCATCGGAAGTCGGCTTGGCTTTGCGCTGGCGATCCCGTTCGAGGATCCGCGCAATGAGTGGGGCGGAGTCGGTGAAGGAGCTGGTGTCGACACTCTGGATGAAAGTGTCCCAGGAGTCAGGGAGTGAGGTGAGGAGAGTTGTGCAGAACTCATCCTCGTCGAAGCGCGACCCAAGCGTCATGAGCTGAGTACGTAACAAGGTAAGCTTCCGAATGTGTTCCTCGATGTCTCCCCCTTCGGCGCACACGAGATGGAGGAGTTTCCGACGGAGGAGGACAATTGCATAGGCACCCCGTGGGCGGTACATTTTTTCAAGTACGTCCCATGCCTCTTTTGCCGAGCTTGCGTTGGTGATGTAAACTAGCAGACCATCGGTTACACGGAGGCAGATTGCAGAGAGGGCCTGGCGGTCCTTGCGCTCCCATTCGCTGGCGGTTGCGGTGGAGACAGTGATGGAGGATGTGATGGTGGTCGTGGTGCCGTTGGGGTTGGTGATGGTGATGGGTGGAGGGACGCGACTGCCGGGCTTCAGGAGCCGGCCTTTTGGGTAGTTGTCAAGCTGGAGGTCGGTCAAGATGTCCGTGATCTTGACGGCCCAGGTCTGGTAGTTTTCCTTGCCGAGGAGATGTTGAATCCGGTAGGCAGATGTAGATGCGTCAGTTGACATTGTAGTAAATGTGATTTAACACGCAGTGAAGATTAAATCGTTTTGAGCTGATTAGGCTAGTGCTTGATACGTGATGGGTAAAGCAGATGCGAGAGATGTTCAGTTACGGCTGGGGCCCATAACCTGATGAATGGATGAGAATCTGAGTGGGATAAAAACTATATTGTGCTTGGGATTTCTCCCGATTTATATAGTACATAGTCATGTATCGGAAAAGTAATTCTACTGCCTTATATATTTGTATCTGACTGAGTCGTGCATCAGTAAGATGCTTTGAGAACATCCGGGAATGATCTTGATGCAAAGGCACAGCATTCCTGTTAATACTCAATAGTAGAGAATACAACCAAGTAGCTACAGTATTTATACCCAAATCCAGTCTGAGTCATATCTACAACTAATGAGTCATAAGACTATGTACTGCATGGAACACTGTGTTGAAGCTTGTTTGTATTAGCAACTATCACAGTATGTAGACATGACATCATATGTAGTATCTTTAGGTTACTTTGGTTTGCTCCACAATGACCTCATACCTGACCTCATTATTGCGTCATCCATTACTCATCTGTGATATCACTACTCCACTATGACATCATGATATCTGCTCCAGACTGGTATATGAACCTAGTACTATATGCTCCATATCCTCAGCTCTGTGTCTTCTACACTCGCTGAGGTATGCATACTCTCTTATGATCTCTTACGACTCATACTCATGACTTGTACCTAGACTCTGTCTCTATAGGTACTGCTAATGTTAGCTCTGTGTCTTCTACACTCGCTGAGACTCTGTCTCTATAGGTGATCGCTACTGGTCATATCTCCACTGCGCGGTATTGTCTGCGACACTCACAGGCAATGACCTTGTCGTTGCTCATGCGTTGGCTGGCGGGAATATCACTGGACATGTTTGCCTTGACAAGAATGGACAACAGATCGCAACCTGACCCCAAGTCCTTGGACCCAAGCGCAACACATTCGGCTTTCGATTTGTCCAGGAGCTCCTTTCCTATTGCGTTGGAGTAGGGGCACGTGACCACAGCGGATCAGAGCAGGCCAGAGTAGTCACAAGGAGTCACAGTAGTCACAGACATTCACGCTTGGCACAGGCATTCAGGAGTGACCACTCCAGCGTATAACTTCTTGTTCACATAACGAATGACTGTCCATCCGGGGAGCGGCTATGATCCATATCGACTTCGGTTCTTTGGTCAATGAAAGTCACCCACAAGAGGCCGTAGCACCGGGATCGCAGCCTGTGCGGCCCGGAAGGCCGAATTGAAGTTGAAGTTTGGGTCGTTGAATAACCGAGAGAAGACTGTGCTCAATTCCGCTTCGTCTTTGCCGTCCGACTTCAAGGAGTTGAACTGATATCCAAATCCTGAAAAAATCAGAAAGCACGCCCCACAATCTGTCCCATGCGCGCTACGCACCAGCCTCTCCGATGATGTCTAGCGTGACCTGACGAAACCAGTCTGATATATCAACATTCAAGACCTTGTTGTTAGCGGCAACCTCTTTTGTCAGCATGTCACGCATCTCGAATATCACTGAGTGAAGTCGTGGACGTTGGAAAACATGTTGACTCACCAGATTGCCTTTCTCCACAAATACTTCATTCATCAAGCGGAGCTGCTTAGGACCAAAGGCAGGGCTCTATCCACACAGAATCAGCGGAATTTCGACCAAACGTGAACCGCAAGCAGACAAACCAGAATTTTGCGCTGAGTGCCGTGAACGAGACGTCAGCGATCAGACCATGAGATGATTAAGCATTCAAGCTACCTAACGTTTGTGGGGATTCTGTTCGATCGCGAGAATCCCGTCACCTAGCATCTCTCGCAGGGCGGAACGCACAGCTTGCGTCTTCTCGTAGATGGTGCCGTGGGAGAAGATGTGCGATACGGCTTTCAGATCCATGATGTAGAGATCGTCCTCCTGAAAGCCAGAGCGGGGTCAACCCCAGAAAAACACCGCTGTTGAAAACTCACGCCAAATATACCTTTGGCCATGAACGTTGGGCCATATTGCTCTCGCCACTTGTCCGTGATTTCCGGGACATCCTGCATGGACACGAGGGCAATTCAGCGCACAAAACGGCCTGTTTGAGTATATCTGCCTCACAAATACTAATGCGGAATGTCCCATGAAAAAATTGGCGGATGGTGGACCGTCTATGAAACGGAGCGGCGAGGTCCAGTTGGTGTACCAAACCTTGAGAGCGTAGCAGGCAACAGATGCGAGAAGAGTAGCGACAGTCGGGATAACGATGTTTGCGATCATGGCTGGAGTTGTTTCTAATGAGAGAGTGGATGAAGGAAGAGACTTTATGTATGAATTTTCTACTGCATCCACCGGCCCTGTAGTAAACTGAAATGACCAGGTTTCCCTAGCTGAGCAATTCACGAGTGCCTAAAGGAGTTCTGGAAGAGAGATATGTCATAAATCATGACCTCCGTACCGGTTGAATTCCGCTCGCCTGGCTTCTGAGGGGTTGCCCCGAAGTATGTGGTGCAACAACCATCACAGTGAGAGAGAGAGCGCGTTCTGCGAAAGGCGGCCCGCCGTTGATTCTTGGGGGTAAGCCTGATAAGGCTATCCTCATTGAGAAGTCCGAGCATTGGTGAATAACGATATCTTCTCATGAGGGCGCAGAGGTGCAGACAGGACCCGTCACTGTCATTATTTGGTCTGATCAGGGAACGCCGTGATGGCGGCCTTGGAGCAATCGGTGATCCGGGAAAGCATTTCTCATGAAGAGCAGCCGTGTGGTGAATCAGACCCTTCGCTCGCAGAGATGCGACGCGTGGCGCTTCGAGCTTCCGTCCCTTCATTTCACCGATATCAGCCAGCAGCTCATGCCGGGCCCGCGGGGTGTTACGCCGCCGTCAGTTCTTGAACTGAGTATTTTGCAGCAGCTTACCAACAGTATGATTCCGAGCGGACCACCAAAACGGTGCCGGAATAACGCACACACGATTCTCCGAGTGCCATGATCGTGCGTATGGGGCCTTGGCTCTTTTTTGCTCCCCTACTTCTTCGCTGCTCGCACAGCTATTTCGATTCTAACCAAAGTCAGAAACATTGACGAGCTCGGGGTCGCTTTGACTGTGTAACCAGACTGGCGCTGATTGATATAACAGCGGTCACATCACAAGCTGTGCTTCATGCAGCTTACCACGTCATTCCACGTGCCATTCAGCATCAGTGGCGATGCTCCCATCATCCATCATAAGCTGTGCTTCATGCAGCTTACCACGTCATTCCACGTGCCGATGCTCCCATCACCCATCAATACTCAATGTTCGGTCTCTCATAACGATCCACAATCCCGGTTTCAAACACTCGTCAAACGCGGCGCTACGATGCAAGACCGCCACAGAAATGGTCCCCAGACTAGGACTGAATTCCTGGAAGGGCCCAGGCAGTTCCAGAGGGACGAGACCGGTCCAGGATTTCTCTCAGAATACAGATTCCCCAGTTTCACATTCCGTTATATTATAGGTCTCATGTTCCTTTTATTTCTTCTAGCTAACCAAAATTGGACTCTATTCATCTACCTACAGTATAAATACACATGTAACAGTCCATAAAAGGCAGGTTGATTCTACCCCACTTCTCACAGAGTCTTCAGGAGCTTTCACCTCCAAGATTTGTCTTTTATTCACCCCTACGTCGTCGTTTCACTCCCGTCGTCACTTATTTTCATCCCAAGCCGCCGCTATCCCTCTGCAAATTTACCCATCGAGTCTGACTCAGCCCGACCAAAACCCCTCGAATTCACCGCTATCTCTACGGCCACAGTCCCAGGCAATCAGAAGCTCATCGACGGTATCTACGCCGTCCCTCCCACCTTGTTCTGAGCCTAGGAGCGCCGTAGGCGCGTCATTTTGGAGCCCACCGCGAGGGGGTTTTTCTGTCCATCATTGCGTCAGACTCACCTCGCAGACTTCGACCTAACGCTCGCCGGAATCTTCGACTCGAGTTCCGTGCCCTCGCGCAGAATCCTCTCGATCTCACCGACACCTCGAGACACAGCGATTCGTCTTCAGACGATCTACTGGTCCCGGTACCTCATCACCTTTCGCATCATCACCACCTGGATCTAGTTGATCCAGATTCACCGACGCTTGCCCGATTTCGCATCACGCCATCGTTCTCTTCGAGATCATCCCATTCGCCTCAGTCTACACCATCGACCTCATCGAGCCCTGATCCATTTCGTCTCCGACCCGTCACACCGCCTCTGATAAATGCACCAATGGCTACCAACACCAATATGCCAGCACGGGGCGCCCGAGGCGCCCCCGAGTTCGACGCTAAGCAGCCACGACAGCTGCTGCGTTTCTTCACCGACCTGGAGTTTCATTTCTCTCTGGCAGGCGTCACGGCAGAACAAGAAAAGAAGACTCACGCGACACGCTACCTTTCAGTGGACGACCAGGAGATTTGGGAGTCGCTGGACTCTTTCCTTACGCCCCACTCCTACGCATCGTTCAAAGCTGACGTCTTGAAACTTTACCCAGGCACGGATGCCGATCGCCGGTACACGCTTTCAGATCTACACACCCTTATTGGGGAATACGCAAGTGTCGGGATCTTGTCTCGTTCCGACTACAGCGAATTCTATCGGAAGTTTTTGGTCATTACCAAATTCCTCGTGGACAAGGCCCGACTATCCACCGCAGAACAATCTCGAGCCTTTCGTCGAGCAATCTCGCCGCCGAGCCTTTGGAGCCGAGTCCACCAGCGACTACAAATCAAGAAGCCTGACGTGCACCCAGACGACCCCTACAACCTCACAGACATGAACGAAGCCATGGAGTTCGTCCTCGCAGACTCCTCGCATGGATCAGCCATCTCAAACACGGCATCGCCGAAACCCGTGGCAGTCAAACAAGAACCTGATTCAAATATAGCCCAGTTAATGGAGTCAATGAACGGGCTAATGAAGGTACTTGCCGCACAAGCAGCAGTCACGGCGCAAGCAGTCGCCGCCCAGCAGAGCCGGCCAGTGAGCACGGGAGCGCCATCTTCAATCCAGAATACGCCACGAGACCTAAACTGCAGCTATTGCGGTGAATCGGGGCATTTTATCATCCGTTGCCCGCGTGTTGACGAAGATACACAGGCTGGAAAGTGCAAACGAAACGTCGAGGGCCAGGTGGTCCTGCCCAGCGGCTCGTACGTTCCCCGGCGTGTCATGGGCACCAATCTGCGTGCACGGATCGAAGAATGGCATCGCCAGAACCCAGGACAAATGGCGGCGTCGCAGAATACAGCTGAAATCTCCACGCATTTCCTCAGCTCCAATTCCGGACCGAAAATCGCGTCGAGCTTCACGCTATCAGATACAGAACGCCTTCAGTACCTCGAACGCGAAATGATGGCCGTACGTACCAGGGAACAAGCGCGCGCAGCCCTAGGTGCGGGGCGTTTGTCCGAACCAGTCGAGGAGCCCGAACAGACCGTCCGCCCGAATCCGTCAGCAACGAGCGCCCCGGGAATCGATAAAAACGCACCGGGACCCGCAGCAACGCGCCAGAAGGACCCACCAGTGCATCCCGCAGCGGAACACCCATTTTCAAAAGCCAAAGACGCGGGGTACGCCCCACCACGCGACCGGAACGTGGGGGCACGCATCCCTGCTCCACCAAAGAAAGCCGAGGGTGCCTATCGAACCACAGCACCTATTTTCGACGATAAAATCGCCAACACCGTGTTTGGACGTCTCTTGGAGTCGAAAATCGAAGTCAGCGAGCGGGAACTCCTTTCGCTATCCCCAGAGCTCCGCACCATGACCAGGGACGTCACCAGTAGCCGCCGAGTCGTCCCAGGGACCGAAAAGTCGCCAGTAGCCGCCAGCAAGCCCACAGAGCAGTTTTCGTTTGACCTGGCGCCCCAGGAGGCGTATATCGAGACGATAGAAGAGCAGCGAGATGGCGATAGACGGCGGGAAGCGTTTTTCGATTCGATGCCCACATCCTTTGGCCAGGCGACGTTACCGGCCAACGCCACTGTTATCCCCGATCATTTCGAAACCCTGATCAACAGCGGCGCTCAAGGAAATGATTTATTGGTCTCCATGGAGTCATCAGCCATCCGTTCCGTCCTGCCCGTAATAGACAGCCGTCTCCGGGTGGAGTGCATCGTTGATGGAGGTTCTCAAATTATCGCTATGTCGGAAGCGATTTGTCACGAAATTGGTCTCTCCTATGATCCCACCATCGTTCTGCAGATGCAATCAGCAAATGGATCAGTGACACCGTCCTTGGGTCTAGCCCGAAACGTTCCCTTCGCTTTCGACGACATAACCTTGTACCTACAGGTCCACGTCGTCCGGAACCCACCATACGACGTGCTTCTGGGAAGACCCTTCGATGTTCTCACAGAGAGCATAATCCATAACTTCGCAAACGAGAATCAGACGATCACAATCCGTGATCCCAATTCGGGCAAAATTGCCACAGTCCCCACTGAAGCTCGGGGATTGCGTCCAAGAGCGCAGGATTTTCAACCCTCGAGGAATTGATTTCTGATCAAGGAGAGGTTGCATTGCTCATCGAGTCAGAGCCAAATGACCGTAACAAATTCTCTATTTATTCCTATGCCTCGCTCCCCTCGTCCTATTCAAGCGCTGAACTCCAATATTTCTATTTGACAGGTTGCACAAACCTGGGCTCGTATTCTGATACAGTCCAGTTCGCACATGCAGTCGTTCAACCGGCGTTTGTCGCGCAAGATAGGGGCGATTCAACTCGCCCCTTTGGTGTTGAAAACTACCCTTTTCCCTCTCGATACAATTCTACAGTACCAGTCTACGTCCAATCAACATCTCTCTCAAACCCTTATTCTCCGCATGTTGACGTCTTCGCCAAGAAACAATACAAACCGGTTTCACGAAAAATACGACCAGTTCTCGGTACCCTACCCGAGGAATTCCGGCTTATACGCGAGATCCACGGAGACCCATTGGCTACACTACCACGTCTCGATCCAAATCCCCCACCTTTTACCCCATCTGGACGATACACCGCCGAAAGACGCGACATAATCGACAAGCTTCACGAGGAAGATTTCCTATGGCCAGAGGAACGGCAGCTCATGCACCACTTCATGATGCTTCACGAGGACGGCTTCGCATGGACGGACCTAGAAAGAGGGAAGTTTAGAACCGACTTCTTCAAACCGGTCACCATCCCCGTAATCCCACACGTACCATGGGTGCAACGAAACATCCCTATTCCACCGGGAATTCGCGACGAAGTTTTCGAGCTTATACGTCGTAAGCTTGAAGCAGGTGTCTACGAACCGTCAAATTCAGCATACCGTTCTCGATGGTTTTGCGTTGTGAAGAAAGACGGAACGAGCCTACGTTTGGTGCACAGCCTGGAACCACTAAACGCGGTCACGATCCAGCACTCGGGAGTGCCACCTTTCACCGAGCAAGTAGCGGAGCATTTCGCTGGACGATCCTGTGGAGGAATGTTAGACCTCTACGTGGGGTATGATGAGAGAGTTCTCGCCGAGGCCTCCCGGGATTACACCACCTTCCAGTCCCCATTTGGCGCCCTTCGACTGGTTACCCTGCCAATGGGCTGGTCAAACTCGGTACCAATCTTTCACGACAACGTCACCTTCATCTTGCAGCCCGAGATTCCCCAGTTCACGATACCGTACATTGACGATGCGCCAGTCCGAGGACCGAAGACGCGTTACGAGCTGGCCGGAGGAGGGTATGAGACCATTCCGGAGAACAATGGGATCCGCCGGTTTGTCTGGGAACATTTTCAGACGCTCAATCGCATTGTACAAAGGATGAAGTACTGCGGCGGCACGTTTTCAGGACCCAAGGCCATACTCTGCGCATCAAGATTCCCTGTCCTTGGTCACATGTGCACATATGAAGGACGAATCCCTGACGAGAAGCGCGTGGAAAAGATCGTTAACTGGGGTCTATGTCAGAACCTGTCGGAAGTACGCGCCTTTCTAGGAACCATCGGCGTAGTGCGCATGTTCATCCGAAACTTTGCCCAACGCGCCAGCCCCCTGATCGGTCTCACACGGAAAGGTGTCCCGTTCACCTTCGGACCAGAGCAAGTCAGCGCCCAAGAAGACTTGAAACAGGCCCTACTGAACTCACCGGCGCTTCGCCCACTCGACTACATGTCCACATCTCCCGTCATCCTCTCTGTGGATACGTCTTACATTGCAGTAGGGGCCACTCTAGCCCAGTGCGATCCGGACAACTTGACGAGACGATTCTACGCAAGATTTGGGTCAATCACATTGAACGAGCGGGAAGCGCGGTTCTCACAACCGAAACTGGAGCTTTACGGGCTCTTTCGCACCCTTCGTGCCTGGAAGATCCACCTGATAGGACTGCGCAACCTCGTGGTTGAAGTCGATGCAAGTTCGATCAAGGGGATGCTATCAAACCCCGACCTGGCACCATCAGCAGCGATGAACAGATGGATTCTAGCAATACTCACCTTTCACTTCGACCTTGTACATGTGCGAGGAGTAAGCCATTGACCGGACGGATTATCTCGACGACCAAGACAGCCCGAAGACAAAGCAGAAGAGGACGACGACTTTGAAGATTGGATAGATCAGGTGCACGGATTCACGCATATGATCAATCACTCACCATACGTTACTTGCTACGTGCCGTGGACTTCCTCCGTATTCATGGCCGGAACCTTGGACGAAGAAGAAGCAAGTGAAGCGTCGCCAGAGATACCAAGATCGGCAACGGCGTTACGAGCAGACTACCGGGTGGACCAAGTCCGGATTTGGCATGGAACACTGGAGCGACCTTGCGATATGACGGAGACAGAATACCAGCCGTTTGTCCGGTATTGCATGGAATTCTTCATGCGTGGCACTGTACTATGGAAAAAGGACTCACATGGGCGTCACAAGGTGGTAGTGACACCGGAGCAGCGATGGTCTGTCCTGAAGTTGGCGCACGACGGTGTTGGTCACAAAGGGTTCTATGCGACACGGGCCCTGCTCACCGAACGGTTTTGGTGGCCTCACATGGCCGATGATATTGCGTCGTTCGTCCGGACCTGCGACTTGTGTCAGCAACGACAAGTGCGGAAGATTCACATACCTCCGACGGTCGCGGTACCAGCGCCCATTTTCGCCAAGATGTACATGGATACAATGCATCTCCCCACGAGCGGCGGCTTCAAGTACATTGTCCAGGGTCGATGCTCGCTGACGCACTACCCAGAATGGAGGATGCTCCGTCGAGAAAACGCGTCGGCCCTGGCGAACTGGATCTTCCAAGACATCTTGTGTAGGTGGGGGACCCTGCTAGAAATCGTCACAGATAACGGTACCCCGTTTGTGAAAGCACTCACACACCTGGAGAAACAATACAAGATACGGCACATTCGGATATCGGGATACAACTCACAAGCAAACCTGTCCGAGCGACCGCACTTCGATGTACGAGAAGCCTTGTATAAGGCAGCAGATGGAAATCAGTCGAAATGGCACACCGTGGCGCACTCCGTCTTTTGGGCCGATCGTGTTACCGTCCGACGGCGCATGGGGTGTTCCCCGTTCTTTGCGGTCACTGGCGCACACCCGTTACTACCACTCGACATCTCGGAGGCCACTTACCTGCTTCCCCCTCCCGAGAGCGTCCTCTCGACCACCGAACTCATTTCGCAGCGTGCTATCGCACTACAGAAACGCCGAGAGCAGTTGGCCTGGCTCCACTCCGACGTCTTCGAAGCCAGGGTCCAGGCGGCGATCCGGTTTGAGCGGGACCACGCATATACAATCCGCGACTACAACTTTCAGCAAGGGGATCTGGTTTTGATGCGCAACACCGCTATTGAGAAGTCACTCAGCCGCAAGATGCGCAAACGATACCTGGGACCATTAATCGTCATCACGAGGAACAGGGGAGGCGCCTACATCCTCTGTGAGCTAGACGGCGCCGTTTTTCACCGACCCATTGCAGCTTTCCGTGTCATCCCATATTTTGCAAGGGAAACAATCGAGCTTCCCCCTCTTGAAGACCTGCTTGATATATCGATGGAACGGCTCAGAGAGATGGAGGAGTCGATCCTGGAGGACCCGGAGGACGAGTCAGACGAAGAAGAAACGGGAGAGAAGAGCGAAGAAGCCTTGGCCATCGAAACGGGACCCCGAGGGAAAAGTCCTTGCCCGACGGCGCCATCACCCAAGCCAGCTGTCACTTACCACCGCAATAACCCCTCATATTCACACGGCGTCGACGGACTGACAGGGGACTGTCAGGATTTAAGTTGGAGGGAGATGACGAGCTCGGGGTCGCTTTGACTGTGTAACCAGACTGGCGCTGATTGATATAACAGCGGTCACATCACAAGCTGTGCTTCATGCAGCTTACCACGTCATTCCACGTGCCATTCAGCATCAGTGGCGATGCTCCCATCATCCATCATAAGCTGTGCTTCATGCAGCTTACCACGTCATTCCACGTGCCGATGCTCCCATCACCCATCAATACTCAATATTCGGTCTCTCATAACGATCCACAATCCCGGTTTCAAACACTCGTCAAACGCGGCGCTACGATGCAAGACCGCCACAGAAATGGTCCCCAGACTAGGACTGAATTCCTGGAAGGGCCCAGGCAGTTCCAGAGGGACGAGACCGGTCCAGGATTTCTCTCAGAATACAGATTCCCCAGTTTCACATTCCGTTATATTATAGGTCTCATGTTCCTTTTATTTCTTCTAGCTAACCAAAATTGGACTCTATTCATCTACCTACAGTATAAATACACATGTAACAGTCCATAAAAGGCAGGTTGATTCTACCCCACTTCTCACAGAGTCTTCAGGAGCTTTCACCTCCAAGATTTGTCTTTTATTCACCCCTACGTCGTCGTTTCACTCCCGTCGTCACTTATTTTCATCCCAAGCCGCCGCTATCCCTCTGCAAATTTACCCATCGAGTCTGACTCAGCCCGACCAAAACCCCTCGAATTCACCGCTATCTCTACGGCCACAGTCCCAGGCAATCAGAAGCTCATCGACGGTATCTACGCCGTCCCTCCCACCTTGTTCTGAGCCTAGGAGCGCCGTAGGCGCGTCAACATTATCATTCGAGGCGCCCGTGAATGCCTGTGACTTTCACAGGGCTCAGGTTGGGGCAAGAATCATGCTGACATCAGTCTACAATGAATGGGGTGAGAAGCCCCAAACTCGAATCTCTCCGACTCTGGCACATGGATTCCGTCAGGCAACGAGGTAACTGGGGCTTATTTCTACGCTGACTCAGGATTTATCTACATTGCTTCCGTCTCAAAGTCACGTAGATTTCACGCCACATAGAGGGGTTCGCACACGGCGGACCGTCGATGAACTTGAGCGACGAGGTCCAGTTGCTGTACCAGACTTCAAAGGCGTAGCACGCAACGGATGCGAGCAGGGCGGCCACAGTCGGGACAATGATGCTCGCGATCATGGCCCTAAGTAGACACCATGAGGTGGCTCAGCACAAGAGGAGCCCATATTCGTTGACTCCGCATAACATGTTACAGGCAGTGGCAAGCCGCTCGAGCGTCAAATCACTGCTTACACCACGGGCGCCGAGAAGAGTTCGGCAGGGCAACGTCGTCAGAGTGAATGACTTAAGCAGCTGACTTCTGAGAGAGAATACAGAGAGCCCAGAAGCGTGCCGTGGAATAACCGTCGACAATGAATCAGCGATTGCGATATTGGAGAGGCAGCCAGTCTGATGCGGTTCGGCTCATTGAGGAAGTCAGGCCGTCAGCATCCACCGATGTGTTCACAGGGTGTGTACTATGTTGTATGCGAATAACACGCGATCGGTGTTTGGTCATGTGGGCACGATGGCCGCGAGGACGCATGGCATCATTCGCGTCCCCGATGCAGATCTTCTCATCCTCATGCCAGGTGGGAATTTCATCGCATGGATTACCCAGCGAGTCGGCGATGCAACCCTTGAGAAGGGAGTACGACCCCATCAGACACACACGGGCGATTTTATTCAGAGACGCAGAAACGGAAAAAAGCACTCCAAGGTGAGCTTCTGTCGCTTCATCACAGCGATGTCAGCAAGCAGCTCATACCGGGCCTGTGGGGTTCTGCAGAAACCGTCAGAGTTCTAGTAAAGGCCATTGCGACTGACCAACAATATGATGCTAGACGGACCGCAAGAACAGAACCCGGGTATCCATCCCATTCGCTTAAAAAGCAAGACAAGTTGTCCCACGGGATCCAATTTTTTTCTCTCTCTCATCCACTCCTCCGCTACTCGCACGGTTATTTCGACTCTCATCAATGTCAGAAACGCCGTACACCATCGCCGTATCGGACGATGCCCTGGCCTCGCTTCACCAGAAACTCAAAGCGACGAGATTGCCGGACGAGCTGGACGAGGCCGCGTGGGACTACGGTGTGCCTTTGGCGGACATCAAGCGGCTCGTCGCCCGGTGGCGCGACGGGTACGACTGGCGGAAGCACGAAGCTGCTCTCAATGCGGAACTGCCTCAGTTCACGCGCGATATCGCGGTGGACGGACACGGGACGCTCAACATCCACTACATTCATCAGAAGAGTGAAGTACAGGACGCGATCCCGCTGTTGTTCGTACACGGATGTACGTTGCCTTTGTGATCGCGACACTCGGTGCGTTGAGTGAACTGACTGTGGTTTCTTACTGCTCAGGGCCAGGCAGCTTCTTGGAGGCAAAGAAGATCGTGCCGTTGCTCGTCGCGCGTTCGAGTGAACATCCGAGTTTCCACGTTGTTGCGATCAGTCTAGCTGGTTACGGGTTCTCTGAAGCCCCTAGAAAGAAGGGATTCGCAATCGCGCAGCAGGCTGAGGTTCGTATCAGCAGCAGTAACATATCTCTGCGACTCTCACAAGGCGTAGGTTGGCCACAAAATCATGCTGGCGTTGGGCTACAATGAATACGGTGAGTGGACCTGAGTTCACGCGTCTTCGACACTGACACACCACGATTCAGTTACGCAAGGAGGCGACTGGGGCTACTTCGTACGCTGACCCCTGACCCATCTCCAGTGTTTCCGTCTCACACTTTGGCAGATTACGCGCCGCATCGCCAAGCGCTATGGCCACCAGCACAACAAAGCCTGGCACACCAACTTCCCCTTGTGCGTGGTCCATGGATCTAGACGCCGCTCTTTGATCTTATTCAACCTAGGGGCCGTCCCCCTTCGCTTTACTATGAGCCGCTCTCATGGTTGGCTTCGTGCCTGAGAGGGTTGACAAAGGAAGAAAAGGCCACGCTCGCGGAGGCAAATTCGTACAGGGGCATTGGACTAGGCTATTTCGCCGAACAAGCAACGCGGCCCCAAACCGTGGGCTACGCGCTGGCTGATTCACCCGTCGGACTGCTTGCTTGGATCTACGAGAAGCTGGTGGATTGGACAGACAAATACCCCTGGAATGACGACGAAGGTGTGTGACTCTCCGCGCTTCGTTGGCTGTTGATCATTTATGACGACAGTCCTGACCTGGATATCGATCTACTGGTTCTCCCGCGCCGGGCCCACCGCGGCCGGCCGCCTCTACTACGAGTTTTCGGAAGGCCGGTCAGACGGGACAATGGACGTCTATGGACCCGCAGAGTACCCGACCATCCCGATGGGCATGTCTCATTTTCCCGGGGAAAGGGCATATGTCCCAATCAGGTATGTGTGTTCCATCGTCCCCTAAACGTGCTCTCATCCTCGGCATCTCTCTCATAGCTGGACCCATGCCACTGGAAACATCGTGCACAGGAACAAGCACGAGCGGGGAGGCCATTTCCCTGCATATGAAGCTCCGGATTTGCTCGTCGAGGATTTACGTGAGATGTACAAAAAGGGCGGCCCGGTATTTGGCGTTGTCAAAGGACACAGCGGCTATGACTCAGAGAAGCAGCATCAGTCGAGCAAGAGTGTAGTCGATCAGTGATATTTCAGAATGAACACTGGTAACAGTATAACATGGTCCTTGACCTGTCGTCTTTGCAGGATGTACCGGAGGCCGCCAACCGGTGGCGAGAGCGATACGGACCGACATTCATAGCCAAAGGGCTCTTCAGCATGAGGAGCGCATCAATCACAATCGCTCTCTGGAGCTGAAGCTGTCAGCCTTTCCAGGCGAACGGTCGCCACACCACAGCTCGGAAGGCCGTAGCCCAAATCCTGTCCAACGGCGCAATTCACCCGGGGTACAATGCCGTGCTGTTCACTCTGAGGTCGATCCTGGGAGATGGGATTCTTGCGGTCGAGCGAGATCCAGACAACAGTCAGGCAAGTGTATCTCTCCGTCATTTTTTCCGATTCCACGAAAACGTTGCGGTCGTCGGCAACGAGAATTGTGCATGAGTAGATCATAGATGATTTCTGGCTTTTCGTTTCTTGACATTATATCATCTGAAACTGCTCGCCGGATGCACCGCTTTCAATTCTTCGACTCAAATACTACTAGGGAAAAACTAGTACGAGCCAGTCAAGCAATCGACTACTTACATGTATTACCAATAAGAAACGGGAAAGTATGGACCAACTATGTTGACCCTTGCAGGTAGTGGTGGATGCCCGTTGAGCTCATACAAGTGGCGCTGATTTGCGTAGGAAAAGGGATAGCCCGACACACCGCCAGATGTTTAAAAAAATGAGCCATAAAGATAGATTTTTATTTTAAATATTGTAACACAAAAACAGAGCCACAATCAGCAACTCTTTATCTTAAGAAAAATGGTCATTGATCGGATTCCGGTTACATTAGTTATTGTGTCCCAAAAAGGGGGTCAGTATTGATGAGATATAATATCCCAAAATGTCGGGCACTTTTTGAGACATGTTTGGTCGAATATAAGGGTCCAATTTTTATTGACAGATGGTGGCACACGATTTGGGGCTCAATATCCTCCAAATAAAGTCAAAGATAAGCGTTTATGATATCTGAGATATCGCGATCCGAAAAAAGTCCGCCCCGATATCTCCGAAATCACGTCCCATTTCATCTATCCACGGATGATCAGTTGCTCATCGGTTACTGGTCCGTTGCTGATCGGTTCAAGAC